GATCTTTTCATTTCTTTTTCATTTCATATTCGAGGAAATATTTTCATTGATGGTAACTGTCTTGAATTGCAAATTCGAAATCATAATTCGAAATATTCAAAATAGTTTTTGAACATTTCATATAATGTTGAGTGTTTTTGAAAATTGTGAAAATAAACTTGACTAAATAAAATAGGTATCAGCATATTCTCAACAAAATTCTGAAAATACGAAGAAATATCGCCTCTATAAACCTGTGACCTTTGATTTGTTGAAAACTATGTAACTAGATGAAAAAATCTAAGGGCGTATCGATAATATATTGAATGAAGAAAAATAGTAACTCCGCCATAAAAATAAACAGGTCAGATCAATCACCAGCATCCAGGCACTTGGTGGGCTTAAAATTGGTGAGCGAACTCATGTGTCTCCAATTCCTTTCGTCTTGTCTAGCGTTTTTCTTTATATTTCTCAATTATGTGATGGATATTCATCACGAAAGAAGGTATTCTAACCACCAATAATGTAAATGGTCGACCTAAAACAGTCATCGATATCTCAAAACCATCATCGAAATAATGGAAATAATCACATTGAATTTTTATTAACAATTTTAGCAAACCTTGAATAGCTTCATGGGATTGTCATGGAAAGCATGGAAAGAAGCTAGAGAAACTATCCAAAGTATCCTGTCTGAGGGTAATCCTGCAATTAGAGGTAATCCGGATCTCATGAAAAGGTAATTGAATTTTTAGAAATCTTTGATTTTTTTATGGCAGCTAACACTTCAAATGGAGTATTTCAATCTAACGACATGTTCTTCCAAACACTCTACGATCGTATACTCATGACGATAAACAACACATTTTATGTATGGCACGATACTGATGGAAATTACTCTGATTGTCCCATGATGAAACCAGCTGTCACCCAAAATTTTGTTTTTTTCATTCCACCTTGGTCAGCGAAAGGAGCGTCGAGATACAGTAGTTTTGTTTTGGTGTGGAGAATTTTGTTTTTTCAATAGATTTTTCAGAATATTAGGCCAAATATCCAACAGAGAATCAATACAAATTGGTACCAAGATGTTGGTTGGTGGGTTCCAGGGAGACAATCTTCTATTGCAGCAGGGTACTGTAACTGCATCCACCAGCCAGGAGACGCTCTCTAGTTCTCCCAGGTAGCTTGTAACATCTTCTGGAATATCCTTTATAGCAGCCACAGTAGTATACTGAAGATCATCCAGTGGATTCCAGATGTTGAGGTTACGGATGTTCAAGATGCAACATTCCCATTTTGAAAACCTCAGCAACATAAGATCATCTATGAGTCATTAATGCATGACGATACATTGAATTCAGCCATGCTCTGGTTCGGATGAATCATTGTTTGATAACAACCGTTAGTGATCTGCTCAGAAAGAACAAATTTTTTGCTATAACTGCCTCCAGGAGACACGCCCTGGTCTTCTCAGGTAACTTGTAACCATTCAGCCCGAAATATGTATCTTGAACCATCTTCTAGAATATCCTCCATAGCAGCCACTGTAGTATACTGAAGAGCATCCAGTGGATTCCAGTGGTTGGATTGATGTTGATGTTATCGGATTTTTAAAATACTACATTACTATTTCAATGACCTCAGCAATATGAGAGCATCTGTGAGTCAGTAATGCATGACGATACATTGAATTCAGCCATGCTCTGGTTCGGATGAATCATTGTTTGATAATAACCGTTAACTGACCTGCTCAGAAAGCATCTGGGAGTCAGTAATGCATTACGATACATTGAATTCAGACATGCTCTAGTTTGGATGAATCATTGTTTGATAACAGCATTTGCTGACCCGCTCAGAAAGAACAAATGTTTTGCTATAACTGCATCCACCAGCCAGAAGACGATTCCCAGTCCTTCCAGGTAACTTATAACCATCCTAGCCAGAATGTCCAGAGGATTTGAGTGGTTTGATCGATGTTGAGGTTGTCGGATGTTCAGACATTTTGAAGAAGATGCACAACAAGCTTTGCAGTTTACATTCATTTCTTATCTATCCAAAACAATGATTTCAATTGGCAACTTTTCCCAATATGTGCATACCCAAGGTTTCTATCATACTAAACCGAAAATTCTGACAAAACGGTAATTTTGATATCGCAGAAAGATCATTATCAAAACCCAGAATTCGTTCTGATATGCTCGTGAATTTTTGATGAATTAATTTCTGATTGACTCAATTTTCAGAGCATTTACTACCCAAGCTGAAGCTATAATGCATTTGCCAGCAAAAATTGGAGATTACACAGACTTCTATTCATCCATTCATCATGCTACAAATGTTGGGATCATGTTTAGGAGCAAAGAAAATGCTTTAATGCCTAATTGGTGAGTAATAATTGAAATGTATATGTTTCTCTAGCTCACAGTGCTGCAGCAAAATCATTTATATATAACAAAAATCTCTCAACACCAACTCTCAATATAAATAATAATGAGCCTAGAAAATAAACAAGGTATACTCATGCAATATTGAATATATAATAAAGTCTCAAATGGGAATGTTTGGTTTTGATTTCAGGCTGATCGGATGTTCAGACATTTTCAGGAAGATGCACACGCTTTGCAGTTTACATTCATTTCTTTCCTATCCAAAACAATGATTTCAATTGGCAACTTTTTCCAATATGTGCATGCCCAAGGTTTGTTCCAATAACTGAAAATCTATTGAGGCAGTTGTATCACCTAGAGCATATGCAGGAATAACTTCAGTGAAATGAAATGTTCAAACAGTTCAATCTTTCTCTTGAAGGTGGTCACTAGGTGGTCGAAACACGTGTCGAGGTGTTAGAATAACGGTTTGGTGTTGGAATAGGACTCCGAGTGAATCTTCATTTAGTATCAGCATTGTACCCGTGCGGAGCCGGGGCGGGTATTAGTATTGCAAAAATGACACTCAATCTCGTAAGAAAATTAAAGAAAATTCATATGAAGATTTTCTCCTTTTTTAGGAAATATTTGCCGGTTGGTTATCATGGACGGGCTAGTTCAATAGTAGTGTCTGGAACACCAATACACAGACCCCATGGACAAACATTACTTGCCGAAGGTAAATGAAAACAGATAGTATTCACATTTATCAGTGATTCAGGATTTGTGATAGAATTAATGAAAACCCATAACCTGTATTGTAATACATAGGAACTACAAAGTATTCTTGAATACTCATGGCTGTGGTGCGCACTTTAATGGTGACACTGTATAACCAAGTAGTGTGACACATATTCAATAGGACATTAATAGAAGGTGAATTATAATGGCTTTTCTTCGGTTTTTCGTGTCATTAGTGTCAATAATTACC